ACCAAGCTACTCCTTGGAGGCAAGGATTCTGGGGCTTCATCTGACATACTTTGGACATGTTGCCAGGAGGGACGGGTCCTTGGAGAGGGACATCCTGCATGGGAGCATGGAGGGACAGCTCAGGAGAGGAAGGCCCTCTATGAGGTGGATTGATTCAGTGACTGGGGTAATCAGGATGGGAGTGTCAGAGACAGTGCGATTGGCACAGGACAGAGCAGATTTTAGGGCTGTTGTACATAGGGTTGTTATGAGTCCCAAGTGACTCGACGGCACATAACAACAACAAACAACAAGTAATTTAGAGCTCATACATCCTTGTGAGATTGTTAGCAATTTATTTTAAAACCTAAAAAAATGTTCTGTACCATGGAGTCAACTGTGACTTATAGTGACTTTGTGAACAAATATCTCTGAACTGTCCCCTTTCCTGAGCCAATCTCACTGTCTCCGATACACCTATCCCCACTACATTAGTTGCTGTGTCAATCCATCTCATTCAGGATCTTCCTCTCCTGCACTGACCCTCTACCCTTCCAAGGATGATGTCCTTCTCCAAGGACTAGTCCCTCCTGCAACATGCCAAAGTATGTGAGACAAAGCTTCAAAATCCTTGCTTCCAAGGAGCAATGTGCTTTCAGCCTCTCCAGGACAGACCTGTTTGTTCTCTTGGTGGTCCATGGTATGTTCAATACTCTTCTCCAACACCACAACTCAAAGGCATTGATTCTTCTCCTTAGTCACTGTACAGCTCTCCAATGCACAGCAAGTAACTACGAAGACCATGGCCTGGATCAGGCGAATATTAGTCTCTAGACTGACATTGTTGCTCTTCGGTACTCTAGAGAGGTCCCTGACAGCTGACTTTCCCAGTGTAACTCATCTTTTAGTTTTCTGACTGCTGGTGCCAAGAGTGTTAGTTGTGGATCCAAGAAAGCTGAAATTGTTAACAATCTCAATCTCTTCTCCATTTATCATGGTGCTGCCGACTAGCCCAGTGGTGAGGACTTTGCTTTCCTGATGTTGAGATGTATTCCAGATTGAAGATTGACCTTCTGCAGCAAATGTTTCAGGTTCTCCTCAGTTTCCACACACAAGGTTGTGTCAAATGCATTATGCAGGTTGTTGATGAGTCCTCCTGTAATTCTAATGCCACATTCCTTCTCATAAAGTCCAGCCTCCCAAATAATCTGTTCTGCATATAGACTGAAAAGGTATGGAGAAAGGATGCATTCCTGACTCACTTTTATCTTCATTTTTAACTAAGCAATGTCTCCTTGCTTTGTTCTGAAGACTGCTTCCTTGTCTAAGCATAGGTTTTGCATAAACATAAACAAGTGTTTTGAGACTCCCATTCTTCTCAATGTTAGCCACAATTTGTTGTGATCCACACAGTAAAATGCTTTGGTATAGTTAATAAAACACAGATATGCTTCTGGCAGTCTTTGCTTTCAGCCATGATTCATTTGACATTGGCAATGATGTCCATAGTGTCACGACCTCTTCTAAACACCAGCTTGTATGCCTGGAAGTTCTTTGCTGATGTACTGTTCCATTCATTTTTGGATGATCTTCATCAGGATTTTGCTTGCTTGTGGTATCAGTGATGTGATGGTGGTGGTGGTGTTCTGTTAGGTTGGAACCAACCCATAGCTGACCTTCTGGCAGGTTTTCAGAGGTAATTTAATCACATGGGAGTAGACTGCTCATCTTTCTCCTGTGGATTCAAACCATGTGCCTTTGGGAGTAGTGTGTAACTTCTTACCACTAGGCAGGCCACAGAATTCCCGGTATAAGTGATATTGTTCAATAATTTCCACACTCTGTTAGATCGCCTTTTTTTTTGGAATAGGAATCTATATGGATCTCTTCCAGTCAGTTGGCCAGGTTAGTTGTCCTCCAGATTTCTTGTTTAGCCAATAAAATAAAAACTCTATTTTAGAGCTAATATGTATACACTTTAGCCAATAAAAGGTATAGCAAAAGCTAGGTATTTGTTTAAGCTTGTACAGCCTTCTATTAGCACTGTTAGAACTGAAACTTGAAGGTACTCTGATGGCATAATGCATCATATGTTTCCCTGGTAACCAAAAGGGTGATGGCTCAAATCTACTAGCTTCTCCGAAGGATAAGGATGAGCAGTCTCCCCTTGTCAAGATTTACAACCTTAGAAACTAATGGGGATTTGATATGAATCAGATCTGTCAGTAGTGGGCAGTGGATAGGAGAGAAACTCAGTTATCTGAATCAATATTTCCACTGCTTATGTTGCAAGTGTATGCTGAATCATGGGTTCAACATAAACCACAGATCCTGATAGACTTTTAAAAATGGAAATGTCTTCACCCCAAAGAAACTATCTTTAATGTAAAAATCCTATCACATTCCTAAAATCATGTTGATGATTATAAATTACCAACCTCTTGATGTTGTTGTTGTTGTTGTTATGTGCCAGCAAGTCACTTGATACATTGTTTTATTCTTAATCTATATTTCCCTATGAGTCTCTTTATTTGAATTAATTTTTCTAATTTAAAGTGCCACCTCTTTGAGATTCTTGCTTCCAAGGAGGAGCCCTGTTTCACTCTCTCCAAGATAGATGTTTGTTCTCTTGGCAGTCCATGGTATACTCAATACTCTTCTCCAGTATCACAACTCAAAGGCATCAATTCTTCTTCTGTCATCCTCAGTCATTGTCTAGCTCTATGATTCACAAATTGTGAAGACCATGGTGTGGGGATCAGGTGCACCTTAGTCTCTAGGCTGACATCATTGCTCTTTAGCATTCTGGAGAGGTCCCTGATAGTAGACTTCCCCAAAGCAACTCATATTTTTATTTCCTGACTTCGAGTGCCAAGAGTGTTGATTGCAGATCTCAGCAAGATGAAACTGTCAATTACCTCAATCTTTTCTCTATCTATCATGATGCTTCCAACTGGCCCAGTGGTAAGGATCTCTGTTTTCTTTATGTTGAGTTGCAATCCATATTGAAGAGTGTAATCCTTCCTTGACCTTCTGCAGCAAACACTTCAAATCCTCCTGTTGAGTTTATCTTTCAATATGACTTTTATTTTTTTTAAATTTTTTTTTCAATATGACTTTCTTAGACACTAAATTTGATTTTGTCATGTGTACATGGGCAGGAATAAGTGAATAAATCTTGCTAGCTTATCCACAAAGGGATTGACTAGTTTTGCCATTAAATGAAATGGATCCAGCAGTAGAAGGAAGAAACCCCACCACCAGCGAAGAACAGCAAGCAAGAGAATGTAACTCACCCTTCAGGGCCATTCCAACAGCCCTAGGAGCCACAGAAGGGAACAGAGACCTGACCTGAGAGTGGGCTTTGGGACTACTGCCCCCCATAGATAGAACCAGGTCCACGTATAAAGCCTTTGCTCAAGTTTGAGGAACAACATAAGACAGAGTAGACCTTGAGACTGCTCTACCACTGGACCAGAGCTAAGAGTCTTTTGCTCAAGTTCATTGTAGGACTATGGAGTAGGGGCAGGGGGGTAGGGCCAATACTGGCAGGACTGAGAACTTTTTAACAGTAGCCTAAAGCCATGACACTTAACGCTGAGGTACCTGTGAGCACATTTCAGAAGCTGTTCTGACTGTATTCTGATACTAACCTAGATTATAACCTTTTAATTTCCCACTATTGTTCTGTGAGCTATCACGTTAAGATTCTGGACTGAAGAATGCAGTAAGATTGGTGCTAGGATGAGTACAAGGAGGTGTGGGAGTGTGGTGGACATGTCTGACCTCCTGGGAATTGGTTGCTGATACTGTTGATGGGGACAGTTCCCCTTGTGGAGTTGATAAAGGTCAGATAGTGGCTGTCCCTATGCAGTTCTTGCTCTTTTTACACCTCCTTAGTTCCAATGAGCAAGGCTGTGTATTCTAAATAATAGGATTTGCTGATTGAGTCTTCTTCCAATCCTGATGCCACATTCTTCTTCATCAAGTCCAGCTTCTAAATGATCTGTTCTACATATAGATTGAAAACATATGGAGAAAGGATCTATCCTTGACACACACTTAGCTGCTAACAAAAAGGTCATAGATTTGAACCCATCAGTCATTCTTTGGGAGAAAAGTTAAAGGATTACAGCCTTGGATAAACCATGTGGTAGTTCTACTCTGCCCTACAGGATCAATGAATTAGAATTGCCTCTGTGTAACAGGCTTGTTTATTCTTTACAAGTTCAGGCTACCAGATCTTCTCTCCCAAAGAGCTGGTGGGTGGATTCAAACTGACAAACTTTTGGTTAGTGGCTGAGTGCCACCAGGAATATTAACATTAATTTGCTCTTCTCTTATTGCTTGTTTTGTGTTTTTGTTTGTTCGTTTGTTCTGTTTTTAGTTGCTGATTTCCAAATCTCTCTTTTCTGGCTGACACTATAGTTTTTTTTGTTATCACTTCAAGTCCAGAAAAATGGAAAGTAATAAATGTCACAGTCAGTAGTTTTTGACACAGGGTTCATAACAGAGTCATCTGTGGACATTTAAAATTATCCAAGTCTGATTCCAGACTTGGTAAATAACTCTCTGAGAGGCATGCATGTGTATTAATGCACAGCTCCATAGATTATTCTGTTGCTTGTGGCTGATTTAAAACCACTTTAAATTCATTATTTTGTCAATGTTGTAAAAACATTAATATTGACAGTTTACAATATTAGCTAACACCAAAACACTCCTTAATATAATTTCCAAGGTTGTAATTTTGTTTATTAATACATGCCTATAGTCCTTCCTGACTCTGTGTAATCAAAGGGGTTTCCTCCCATCTCTGAGAAGGTTTAGGAATAAAGACAATATTTATATAGAGATGAAGAAGCAATGCATACCAGGTCATATATAATAGTTTCATCAGAATTACATTGTACAACTAATCTAAGTATTATCAACATTTTGGTCAGATTTCATGATCCTTTTTATAACCTTCCTTTTGGCTATGGATTCAATAACCTTCCTTTTGGCTATGGATTCATGCTTTATTTTGAAAATTTTCAAAATTCCTTAATATTATAAAATGTAATCTCAATTACACAGAACCTAAAGGTTAGCTTTATATACAGTACCTTTTCATTTGCAGTTTCAATGCATTTTTGCTTTTCATTTGACAGTTGTAATAGTTCAGCTTGATGAGCTACAACAATTGCATCAACTTGTTTTTTAAAGGCATCGTCCATACTATGTAGCTTTTCTAATGTACTCCTTAAAAACAAATGAACAAATCATATACATGAGTTTAAATTAGGATTTTTTTGCCTCCTCCATAGATGGCAGCTCTTACATTCATACTTTAATGACAACATAATTCAGTATTAAGAAAATAGCAAAGAGTTGCCATGGGGTAATTAAAAATATTAGTAGGTTATCATCTAGTAAAATTTGTTAACAAAAACAGAGCCTAAAGCTCTGACATCATTGAAAGTTTATTATTTAAAAAGCCATAAAACCTCCCAAAGAGCATGTGTTATTTTTCACCATATGAAAATGAAAGTATCCTCTTGTCCTATTTATTTTGAGATTAAGGGTGTAATTTATAAATTTCTTCATAAGTAATTATTATCAATCTCCCTCCATCCTTAGGTATTTGCAATGTTATAATTTGAGACATGTATAATGGATGGTCTTAAATTCAAGAATGTGATGTCAGACCTCCTTATGTTAAAGGTTAACAGAAAAACTCTGTTAATACAAACCTTAAATAAGATTTATAAAATTTTAATGCTATCTTATAACCTAATAAAGCCAATTTCTTTGTTTTCTACATGATAACATGCCGCTGAAGTATGCTGGCATCTACTTCCTAAACAACATGCATCTGGAATCTTTAACAACTTTGATAAATGATGATGGTTATAGAAAGGTGTCAGGTCTTCTGTTCATAGGGATGCTATGAGTCATGCTCGACTTGACAGCAAGCAACAACAATATGCTATATACTATTCAACATAGCTTTCTAAAATAACAAATCTGATTATATAATTTATAATCTACTTATACCATCTATAGCATTTTATGGAATCTATATAGTTTGGAGGTGCATGTTTGAAGCAGTTGGATTCTGGAGGGTAGGTTTTCTTGTTTTAGTTAAAAAAAAGTCCAGTGTAAACTGGTCTTTTATTTATTTTTTAAAAATATTTTCACAATTGTGCGTGAGCTGACTAGTTGCCTGGATTTACTGGATTAACTAACAATCAGCTGTGGGCTGGAAGCCTCTTAAGTCAATCAGGACCTCATAGGCAGACCTTTGTATTTAAGAGTTGGTTGGGCCCTCAAGCTGGTGTTAATTTTGTTTGGGAAGAACATTCTTCTAAATGGTACAGCACTGGTCTGTCAGTTTGCTGTACTGAGATATCTTTGGGTTGCTGTGATACTGAACACTGTGCCACTGGTGTGTCAAATGCCACAATGGTTACCTATGGGGGACAATATTTGATAGTACTCCCAGATTTAAGACAGGCTTGGAAGCAGGACTGGCATCTACTTCCTAAACAACATGTCTTTGGAGACTATGAACATTCGAGAAATGACAATAGTTAAAGAACAGGGCTCAGATCTTTTGTTCATAGGGTTGCTATGAGTCGTACTCCACGGCACTTAACAACATATAGTATCCAGGGACACATTTTCTTTTTCACTTTTTAGAATTAGGGCTTTATCCTCAGTCCCGCTGAGCAGGCCAGCTTAATACATATGCTTTAGTCTCCTTCAGAGGTCACTGTTTTTGGCAATTAATTGACTTTCCCCTCTAAATTCTACACAGAATATACAAAATTACCATTAGCTGTTTCCAATTGAACAGTTTGGAAAAGATTCTAATGATAAAAAGAACAAAGTCATATAGCAATTAGTAATTGTCATGTCTGTTCTAAAAGCCATAGGACATACATATATATGTATATATGTACACACACACACACACACGTTTAAACCTCACATCAAATATTTAAAGTAGGAAGTATTTTCATCGTTATTTTTATTATAGATAAGGATTTAAAATACAAAGAAATGGAATCATTTGCTCAATGATATCTTTGAGGTTGAGGAAATTTAATGAGAGTGAATTCCCAAGTACTTAAAAAAAAGAGAGTTTAATTCTTCAGTTCAGCTAGTAACTTACAGAAGTGGTCTCACATGATCTTGTGTCAGGATGATTTCTTAACCACTAGGGTCATTTTTAGCTTCAGCATATTGTTTTGCCTTTCCTTCATTCTTTATACATCTCACGCACCCTAATGGTGTTTATGTTTGCAGACATCTTATGTCCTTTAGGATACTCTACTTACTTTTGTATTTCAATACTCTTGTCTCTTTCTTCTTTAAGTTTTCTTTCCTTGTTCTCAAATTTTTCTTTTACTTCTTTTACTTGGGTTTCAAGATGACACAGAAGTTCTCCTTTATCTAGCCACTTCTGATTAAGTGAACTAAAGTAAGAAGAAATAATTTTAAAAATTGGTTACAAGAAACAATTAAGCTACATTTTATTCCTTAGTAGGTAGGTATATGATACCTGTAAGCACATTTAATTTCTTCAAGTTCTTCTTCCCTTTCTTTCAACTGTTGTTTTAGTTTTCCTTTCCTCTCATTGTTTCTTTCTAGTTTCTCAATTACAATATCCAGTTGTGAAGATTTTTCCTCGAGTTGTTCTTGAGTACATTTTTGAATTTCAGAGATCTTCTCTTGTAATGTTTTGATGTCATCATCTCTTTCTTGTAAACACTTCAATGAAAAACAATCATCACTTTAGTTTTATTAACCTAAATATCTCATTTCCTAATAAATTAGGTATGACTTAAAATTATTATAAAAATAAAATTAAAATGAACCAGTGTTTGAGAAAAAAATTACAGAAATTTTTAATCAGTCAATTAGAAACATCATCACTAGACTGCATTAGAGTATTGAGAAGGGGAAAAAAGGAAGAGATGTTGAAGTAAAGGAGCTTATCAGGGCCTCTCCACCCTATTTCCTTTCAAGGAAAGAGGTTCACCCTTAGGGATGAAACTTTCTAATAAATTTACCTGTACTTTTTACCTTAAAAAAAAAAGCAAAAGAGTGAATAGAAGATTTCAAAGGTCAGCTTGAGAAGACAAAGCAAACTATTATAATGAGATGTGAAAAGATCTAGAATTGGAGAAGAAAAAGAGAAGAACTCACATGACATTTTTAAACCTGAAAGATCTGAAAAACAAATTCAAGCCTGAGTTGCAATACTTAAAGGCAAAATCTTGAATGATCCAGGAAGGGGAAAAAAGGGTATGCACAGAATCACAGTAACAAAAAGAATTAGGTGACACTGAAATATTTCTGCAAGTATCATATGATTGAGAGCCAATGGTAATGAAGAAAGAAGTTCAAGCTACACTAAAGGCAAAAGCAACAAATAAGGCGGAATCTTATTATAGTCAAGTCATCTTATAAAGTCAAGGACTGTAGTCTTCAATATGGATGGAAGCTCAACATCTAGAAGACAAAGATTCTCACCACTGGGCCACTTGGAAGCACCATTCTAGATGGAGAAGAGATTGACGTTGTTAACAATATATAGCTTGCTTGTCTCCACAGTCAGCACTCTTGGCACCAGCAGTCAGGAAATCAAAAGTTAAACTGCACTGGGAAAATCTGTCAGGCATCTCTCCAGAGTACTGAGAAGCAACAATGTCAGTCTACAGACTAAGGTGCATCTGATCCAGCCCTTGATCTTCGCAATCACTTGCTATGCATCAAAGAGCTGGACAATGACTAAGAATGACAGAAGAAAAATTGATGCCTTTGAGTTGTGCTGGAGAACTCTTGAACATACCATGGACCACAAAGAGAACAAACAGGTCTCTCTTGGAGAGGGTGAAACCAAATTTCTCCTTGGAGGCTAAGATTTTGAAGCTCTATCTCACATACTCTGGGCATGTGGCCAGAAGGGACCAGTCCCTGGAGAAGAACATCATACTTGGAAGGGTGGATGGAGCCCAGGAGAAAAAGGCCTAGGATGAGATGGATTGATACAGCAATTGAGGCACTGGGGGGTAGGTGTGTCAGAATCAGTGAGACTGGCTCAGGACAGGGCCGGCTTCAGTGCTGCTGTACATAGGGTTGCTATGAGTCACAGGTGACTCAACAGCACCTAATAACAGATCAGGAGACGTATTACACTGGGAAAGATAGTCTACAATCAGGGTCCTCTCTCCAGAAGCTATGACATTAGTTGGTAGACTACGATGTGCCTGATTCAATGGTCTTTTCAATCATTTGCTATGCATCTGAGAGCTGGACAATGAATAAAGATGACAGAAGAATTGATGCCTAGAAGCTCTGGTATTGGAGGAGAGTACTGAATGTCCCATCGACTGGCAAAAGAACAAACAGATGTCGTAGAGAAAGTACACTCACAGAGCTGCTTGGAGGCAAAGAGTTAAAGCTTTGTCTCACATACTTTGGGCATGTTGCTAGGAGTGGCTACTTCTTAAGAGAGGCTCATCATGGTTGGAAGGGTGGAAAAAAGGGCAAAGAGAGGAAGACCCTCAATCAGATGGACCAACACTGACAGCTGCAATAGGCTTGAGTACATCAGAGACTGTGATGATTGGACAGGGTTCATTATCTGTTGTTCAGAGGGTGGCTATGAATTGTACTCAACTTGATGCCATCTTAAAACAACAAAAACAACTATGAATTAAGTATAATAGGGATGATCAAATTTTTGTCCTTTTTATGCTTTTTTTATTTGTGTTGTTGTTGTTGTTATGGGCATCGAGTTGCTTGCAACTCACAGCAATCCTATGCATAATAGCTCTGAACTCTGCCCCATCCTGAGTCAATTTCACCGTCTCTGACACACCTACCTCCATTACCCCAGTTAACTGTTATCAATCCATCTTATTCCAGGCCCTCCTCTCCTGGGCTGTCCCTCCATCCTTCCAAGCATGATGTTCTTCTCCAGGGACTGGTCCCTCCTTGCCACATGCCCAAAGTATATGAGATGGAGCTTCAAAATCCTTGCCTCCAAGGTGCAGGTTGGTTTCACCCTCTCCACAACAGATCTGTTTGTTCTCTTGGCAGTCTAAGGTAGGTTCAGCACTCTTTTCCAGCACCACAATTCAAAGGCATTAATTCTTCTGCTCTCCCTAGTCATTGTCCAGTTCTCTGATGCATGCCAAGTAACTGCAAAGACCATGGCCTGAATCAGGTGCACCTTAGTCTTCAGATTGACCTCGTTGCTCTTTAGCATGAAAATCTCAATCTAATGTAAACCTACTGACAAAGGTTATTAAGTGCTGCTAAAAACTTATTTTCTACTCATAGTGGTGCCTGTGACAGAGTAAAATAATCTCGTTGGGTTTTCTTGGCTATAATCTTTATGGGAGCAGATTTCTAGGTCTGTCTTTAGCACAGCAATTGAGTGAGTTTGAACTAACCTTTTAAAGAACAACAAAACACTTAGTCTTTTAAAATGTCAGTTTTCTTGACAAGCACTGTGGCAATTGGACAATTAAAACAGACATGGGGGGGGAAAGAAGAACGAACTGGGGAGGAGGGTGGAGAAAACAGTGCAACAACGAATGAATGAAAACCCAAAATCTCTGTAAATGTTCATTAAAACTAATAAAATCTAGAGGGTCAGCGCCCAGAGCCATCAGGGGCTTTAAGCTC